GTTGATTTAACAATTGACACTCTTATTTATGCCATCAGTAATCACCCGAGGCTCTTGGCATGAGCTGCCAAGGCTATGGAAGCTTCTTGAGTTCAGAAACTCCTGCCTTATTTAGACAAGGCCATAAGCAAAGTGGAAGCTCTCTCCTCTCTTCAGAGAAAGGTACCTCCTTCTCCTTCTTTGATGGTCCCTTCTTTCCGCTGGGATCTCACTCACAGAGATCTTTCATTTAGGTCATTTTTTGACACAGTGTCTTGGCTTGCCATGCCTGAGAAACTCTCATGGGCTTTTTAGCCAGATCTGAATGCCTTAAGGGCTCATTTTGAGGCCAGAGTGCTGTTTAGGGCATTTGCCATTCTGTGAGTCTGCTGTGTATCCCGCTTCCCATGTTGGATCATTCTGTCCTTTTTAATTCTGTCAATTATTCTCAGCAAACACCGGTCTTATTTATATGATCCCTTTGACACTTAATCCTGTCTTTATGATCAATTATGAACTTAAACTGATCACTTTAACTAGTAAGATGGCATTGGTACATGCCACCTTAATGGGATTTGGAATCCCATGGCACGTTTCTAGCTTTGCCATTAGGAGTAAGTCTGAATGAGCATGTGCCAAACTGTACGTCTCCTCCCTCTCTTGTTCCCACTGTTATATTTAACAGGGATCGCTTTTCAGTTAAATTTAAACACCTAAGAATAATTGTCTATTAATTAAAGAGTTCAACCAATGGTATTAAGTAGAACAAGAAGATACTAAAAAGAATAAAATAGTAAGCTGTTCCTCGACAGGACAAGGGTTGATCAAGTCATGTTTCTCATAGTTTCAGTTTTACTTCTGCATGTTTCCTTTTAGGTGCTCAATTAGTTGTCACAGATCAGGGAGAACATATGATGTTTGTCCCTTTGGAACTGGCTTATTTTACTTACTCAGCATGATGTTTTCCAGATTCCCCCATTTTGTTGCAAATGACGGATTTCATTTTTTTTTAACTGCTGTGTAGTATTCTATAGAGTACATATCCCATAATTTCTTTATCCAGTCTACTGTTGGTGGGCATTTAGGTTGATTCCATGTCTTTGCTATTGTGAATTGAGCTGCAATAAACATGGAGGTGCAGATAGCTTTTTTATTTGCCAATTTAATTTCCTAGGGGTAAATTCCGAGGAGTGGGATGGCTGGGTCTTGTGGTAGGACTATATTCAGGTTTCTGAGGAATCTCCAAACTGTCTTCCATAGTGGCTTTACCAGTTTGCATTTCTACCAACAGTAGATAAGTGTGCCTTTTTCCCCACATCCTCGCCAGCATCTGTTGTTAGTTGATTTCTGTATGTGAGCCATTCTAACAGGGGTGAGATGGAACCTCATTGTGGTTTTGATTTGCATTTCCCTGAGAGCCATCATCTTTAGCTTTCTAGGTACATTACCAGGAAGTTGGATCAAGAGTAGAGTAACCAATACATGAACCAGGCACTTCAATATGGGATGCAGACATTCCAAGCATTGGCTTAACCCATTGCACCACAATGCCTGCCCCAGGTTTAATTGTTTTGGCAAGAGTACTTCACTGATAGGTTTCTGTATTTCGTGTCGTATCACATAGGGTGATGCATAAGGTCTAGTCGTCACTTAAATTGTATTTTGAAATAGACAAATCAAAGATAAATCTAATCAATGAATGAGGTGCAGACAAAATTTATGATACATGCCTTTTACTATAATTCTTAAGACACCGACGGGTTATATCATAGATTTTTGGATTGAAATATGTAATTTATCACCACAGAAAACCACTGACTAGAATGGGCCTCACAGCTGTAAATTAGTATGTTTGGTTTCTATACCAGCCAAGCTCATATATTCTTTAACAAAAAGATAATGTAAATTTAAGTGAGCCTAACCTACTGGAGGAAGAGGCCACAAAGTTTATAGGAGGAGATATCACGGGACTAAAAATAGTATCTTGATAAAGGCAAGCCAGTGAAAGTAATTCTTTTTCATATTCTATTGAAAAATTGTTGAAGAAGAAAATAATTTATTATGTGATGTAGGCATTACAATTATCCAGAAAGGGAGTAACTTAGAGAAAGAATCAAAGAATAAGACTGTTTACTTAATTTTAGACCTAAAAATGTGATCTTGGAATGGATGCTTGGGAATCCAGTTTTGTTTTACCATTTAAAAAGTAATTATATGATGGGAGCAGGGGGTGGGCAGGCATTTTGCACAATAGGTATGATGCCGCTCGGGATGCCTGCTTCCTGGATCAGAGTGCCTGGTTCAAGTCCTGGCTCCTTTGGTTTTGATTCATCATCCTGCTGATGTGCACTCTGAACAGCAGCAGGTGGTAGGTAAAGTACCTGGATTCCTACCATTCACTTGTGAGACCCAAATAGAGTTCCAGGTTCCTGGCTTTATCTGGCCTAACACTGGCTCTTTGGGGCATTTGGAGAGTGAACTAGTGGATGTGAGATCTCTGACAGTCTCTGTCTCTTTCTTTTGCTGTTCTTCTGCCTTTCAAATAAAGTTAAAATAAATAAAATAAAAAAATTATATGGGGGAAAAATGAGTAAAGAGAAATCAGGTGGGGCTGGTGCCATGACGTAGTAGGCTAAGCTTCTGCTTGTGGTGCTAGCATCCCATATGCGCATCCCAGCTGTTCATCTTCTGACCCAGCTCTCTGCGTATGGCCTGGGAAAGCAGTGGATGATAGCCTAAGAGCTTGGGCCCCTGAACCCATGTGGGAGACCCGGAAGAAATTTCTCGTTCCTGGCTTCAGATTTGCTCAGCTCTGGCTATTGCAGCCATTTGGGGAGTGAACCAGCAAATGGAAGACCTTTCTCTCTGTCTCTCCCTTTCTCTGTCTCTGTCTGTAACTCTGCCTCTCAAATAAACTAAAAAAAAAAAAAAAAAAAAAAAAAATTCTTTTAAAAAAGAAATCAGGTTATAGATTCTGTAGAATATTTGTAGATAGTAAAATACCTGGCTGATGGGGCTCAGTTGTAGAATTAACTCACAAAGCTCTGTGTATAGGTAGATGGGTTTAACTGTTTTAAAACATTTGAAACTATTAAAAAGGTAATAGGCCTAGAAGTCACCCTACAAGTCTCTGAAGATTATATATCAAATAGGTGAGCCTGATGTATAGTAGTTATTAAATTGTATGAGGAATAAGTAGGGGAAATTGAATCATCTGACATAACATGAATCACTGGCAAGATATTATCAACCCAATGGGAAATGTTAGTCATATAAAATGAAGTTTCTGCACTCTGGTTACTGCATTTCAAGAAAGATGTAATTGGAATAGAAGAGATCCTGAGAAAGCTCATTGAATTTATCAAAGCAATGGAGCAACAACAGCCATCCAAAAAACAAACTGAAAAAGTAGAATGTATAGCAAATGAGAAGGAATGTGCTCCAGGACTAAAAGTAAGACAGGAGTAAAAGATTGCAGGTTTAACAGTAAATTATTAAATAGGAAAACTAGGACATCTTCCTTGTGATACATGAAAGAGGTAAATTTGTAACAAATGAAAGAGGAGGTGTTATATAGTATAAAATATTTGCAAGTCATCTTCCCAAGAGATAATATAGCTTTAACATGAATAACTTTAAAATGTTTATGTATTTTTTGATTATTATGGGAAATTAGAGTAGTTGGAGGTATAGAGCATCTCTGGTCATTGAAGTTGTCTGGACACAACTTAGCAAGGCTGATTCACAAGTCAGCTCTTACCTGCTTCTGCTTAAAGTAAAATATTGGAGCTAGAGAAACAATTGTTTTGTTTTTAAAAGTATAATAGGTTCCCTTATTGTGGAAAAAGCCTGATGCATTCTTTAAAGCCTGGTATCCCTCCATTAGTGCTAAGAAGGGGCTTTCACTGTATTGTGGACTGGAATTCTTTTAGTATGTTCAAAATTGAAGGTCAGTGTTTATTGCATTCTTTCTTTCATACTTGGACATAGATCACCTTGGGGCTGTTTTTATGTAAAAGCCAAAGAATGTTACTCTGAAATATCTGCTTGTTTTATTTGTCTTCTGCATAAATATTTTGTCATTCCTCAGTTATTTCCTTAGCAATTAAGTAACAAGGAACTAGAGTTGGTTTCATTTCCTTTTGCATTCCTTTTTCAGTCATGTGGAGATCTCTTAATGCTTAAGATAAAAGAGATTGTGTGCAGATGGTTAGCTGAAGCACTTAGTTTCTTTCAATATGCAAATTTTCATTAGAAGACTCTGGTTGGTTTCTGTTGTGAATTTCGATGGCTTTCAAATGCTGAGCAGAAAATATAGGTTATAAAGCCTCTTTGATATGATGAATTTTGTGAGATATGGCTCATAGTTTTAAAAATATCTTACTTCAAATAGATAATAAAAGCACATGATACAAAATACAAGAATGTACAAAAAGGTATACCTTGAAAAATGGAAGTGTTCTCTTGCCCTTGTTGCTGATCATCTAGTTCCCCTCGTAGGCAACCCCTATTACCAGTTTCTTGTGTTTATCCAGACACTGTAGAATTATGCAAACATATATGAATGTATATATTTTATTGATTTTATTTATTTCTACACAAAGGGTACCAGACTGTTTACATTCTTCTGTATCTTGCTTTTTTCACTTGAAGTAAATTTTAGTGATTGAGTAGTTAACAGCGTAAATTTTTTATCAGCTGTGTATTTTACTAGTTGACCAGAATTTTTGTTGAGTTGTTTCTAGTCTTTTGCTGTTACAAATAATACTTCAGTGAATTTTCCTAGTCATAGGTTGTTCAGGCACACTCAGATTATTCTCATATAATAACTGTTTCTACTACCCTATTGTATAAAACCTACATGCAATATTCTGAAAAACCCTAAAAGGAGTTAGTGTTTTTCTAATTTGTTTATAATGAAAATTACATAGTAGAGATGCCACTGGATATAATTTTTTCAGTCATTGAACATAAAATACATGATAAGAATTTTTTTTTTATTCTATTACTTTGTATTGAAGATTTTGGTGCCTCTGGTTTTGCTCCGAGAAATGCTTTTCGAATTGACAAGACGAGGTCAAGAGCCTTTGAGTGCACTGCTGCAGTTTGGCGTGACATATCTGGAGGACTACACAGCAGAGTACATCATTCAGCAAGGTGGCTGGGTATGAATGGTTATGTATTTTTTTATAATCTTCCCTTTAAAAAAATTAAGCTCTTTGTTTTTAATAGCATAGGTTTATATCAGTATTGGATGACAGTGCGAAGGCTGTTTATTTTTAAGTTAAGCTATTACTTAACTTACAATACTTATAAGATTTTGTTTATGATAAATTGGTATATGGTACTTTTAAACAGATCTTTTTTATGGACAATTCCATACCAAATTGTGTGTGTGTGTGTGTGTACACACATATATGCTGTCCCAGTCGATGAAGAGAATACAGCTAGCACTTGAATCTCCATATATGCTCCTTCTATATTTTGTCATGCTCTTGTCTACCTCATAAATGTAACTCCCAAATCATTTTATTTTACTTCAACTACATGTATATCCTTAAATAATATATTATTTTGTATATTTTTAATTTTATGTAAATAATATCATACCATGTGTATTTTTCTGTAATTTGCTTGTTTCACTCAATGTTTTGTAAATTAAAAGCATTTTTTAGAGAGACATAGGGAGAGGCTCCCGTCTTTGTGGTTCATTTCCCAGATGAAAGTCAGGATCCAGGACCACAGTCCAGGTCTCCCATGTGGGTGGCAAGAACCTAATATCTTGAGCCATTACTGCTGTGTTTCAGGGTATGCATCAGTGTGACACTGGAATCAGAAGCTGGAGCCAGGCATTGAACCCAGGCACTCATAACTTATGATTTTTCCCACCTTTCTGAAGCATTTTCACTCTTGATAATATCCCCGTTGAGAATGCATGGCGATTGGTATTCCATTGTGTAAATATAGACCGTTTATTTAAATAATCTAGTATCTTGTCAATGAACTTTTCTACCTTTGTGTTACTACAAACATTGCTTTTATAACCATTCTTATACATTTTTGCAAAAGTTCCTGAGAATATGTATACTTTGGAGTAGAATTTCTAGATCACAGCGTGCAGGTGTGTTTTAAATTACAAAATAATGCCAGAATGTTTTCCACAATATTTTTTCAGTTTGTAGTTTATCAGTTGTATATAGTTTTGTCAGTCTGCATCTTCTGTATTATTAGTAGTGTCAGATAAATTTTTTTTAAAGATTTATTTTATTTATTTGAAAGTCAGAGTTACAGAGATGTAGAGGCAGGGAGAGAGAAAGAGATCTTCCATCTGCTGGTTCATTCCCCAGATGGCTGCAACGGTCGGAACTGCTGATCCGAAGCCAAGAGCCAGGAGCTTTTTCCTGGTCTCCCACACAGATACAGGGGCCCAAGCGCTTGAGCCATCTTCTGCTGCTTTCCCAGGGCATAGCAGAGAGCTGGATGGGAAGTGGAACAAGCCAGGGCTTGAACTGGCACCCATATAGGATGCCAGCACTGCAGGCAGCTTTACCCACTGCACCACACAGTGCCACCCCCATCAGATAGGTTTTTAAAATCGTTTATTAGAATAAGTTTATTTTGGAATATTTTGGGTTTATGAAGAAGTTACAAAGATAAAACAGAGGCTGGTGCTGCGGCTCAATAGGCTAATCCTCCACCTGCGGCACCGGCACCCCAGGTTCTAGTCCCGGTCGGGGTGCCGGATTCTGTCCCGGTTGCTCCTCTTCCAGTCCAGCTCTCTGCTGTGGCCTGGGAGTGCAGTGGAGGATGGCCCAGGTGCTTGGGCCCTGCACCCGCATGGGAGACCAGGAGAAGCACCTGGCTCCCGGCTTCGGATCAGCACGCTGCGCCAGCCACAGTGCAACAGCTGCAGAGGCCACTGGGGGATGAACCAACGGAAAAAGGAAGGCCTTTCTCTCTCTCTCTCTCTCTCTCTCTCACTGTCCACTCTGCCTGTCAACAACAACAACAACAACAAAAAGATAAAACAGAGTTCCCATATATTTGTCACCCAGTCTCCTGTAGTGTCAGCATCTTACATAACTATTGGTACTTTGTCAAGTCTAAGAGATTAATGTTTGTACATTAAATTAATTAAACTGTAGACTTTATTTAAATCTCACCCATTTTCCTGTAATGTCATTTTTGTGTTCCAGGATCTAAGCCCATTTTTATTTAAAATAAACAAACTGCATTTTATTTAGACTTAATAGTTTTGAGGAGTTGTAATCCCGTTTCACATCTATAAGCTGTCTATATTTCTTCTGTGTAATATGTTGGCCTCATGTCACTTGCACACCTCTCAGTTGAATTTTCTTTTTTTTTTTTTTTTTAGAGATTTATTTATTTATTTGAAAGTCAGAGTCACACAGAGAGAGGAAAGGCAGAGAGAGAGAGATTGATCTTCCATCCGATGGTTCACTCCTCAATTGGCCGCAATGGACGGAGCTGTGCTGGTCCAAAGCTAGGAGCCAGGAACTTCTTCTGGGTCTCTCATGCAGGGGCAGGGGCCCAAGGACTTGGGCCATCTTCTACTGCTTTTCTAGGCCATAGCAGAGAGGTGGATCGGAAGTGGAGCGGCCAGGTCTTGAACCAGCACCCATATGGGATGCTGGCGCTTCAGGGCAGGGTATTAACCCGCTGCGCCACAGCGTCGGCCCCTCAGTTGAATTTTTCTTTGTAATAGTTTTTTATATGGTGTTAAAATCATTTATTTATGTATTTGAAAGGCAGAGACAGAACTTCTGCTGGTCTGCTGGTTCACTCCTCAAATGCTTGCAGTAGCCACGACTGGACAACACAAAAAGCCTAGAGCTGGGAACTCATTCCCAGTCTCCCACATGGGTATTACGAACTCATCTGCTGCCTTCCAGCTTGAATCAGAAGTGGAGCCAAGACTCAAAAACTCAGACAACCTTATATGAGATGCAGGTTTCCCAAGTGGTGTCTAAACTGCTGGGTAAAACACCTACCCCATAGCTTTTTGTATATTTTAAACTAGTGATTTTTTATGTGTGTGTTATCAAAAACAGTATTTTTATGGTAGAATTTAGAGCATGTGTAAAGCTCACTTTGTATAGATATATTTTTTTAAGATTTGTTTATTTGGAAGTCAGAACTACAAAGAGGGAGGGAGGGAGAGAGAGAGAAAGAGCGAGAGAGAAAGAAAAAGAAAGAGATTGATCTTCCATCTGCTGGTTCACTGTCCAGATTGCTGCAATGGCCAGGGCTGAGCCAGGCTAATACCAGGAGCCTGGAGCTTCATCTTGGTCTCCCACGTGGTTACAAGGAGTCCAGGCACTTGGGTCATCATGTGCTGCTTTCCCAAGCTATTAACAGGGAACTGGATCAGAAGTGGAGCAGCCAGAACTTGAACCAGTGCCCATATAGGATGCCAGGGTCACAGACAATGGCTTTACCTGCTACAGCACACCACCACAACACCAGCCCCAGCTAACTTCATATTTTATTTTTAGTCAAAAGAATTTTATATCATAGGTACCAGCAATTTATTATGTTAATTTTATATAGATTGCCATTTTTCCTGAATATTTCTTTTTAAATTTTTTGTTACATATTGCAAACATACTCTTCCTGTTAGTGCCTTTTTTTTTTTTTTAAGATTTATGTATTTATTTAAGGGGAAGAGAGAGAGAGTGCTCTCTTACAGAGAGAGTTTACATTCAATGGTTCATTTCTCAAATGCCACACCAAAGCCAGGAGCCCGGGATTCCATCTGGATCTCCCACATGGGTGGCAGGAACTCAAGTACTTCAGCTATCATCTGCTATTTTCCCAGGCACATTATCAGGAAGCTGGATGGGAAGTGGAGTAGCCACGACTCAAACCTGGCACTTGGGTGAGAGGTGTAGGCATCCCACATGGTGGCTTAACCCACCCACACCACAGTGCCTACCACCATTTGTGGCTTTTCTTTTTGCCATTTTAGTCTTTAATTGGGAATTAGAAGCTTCCATATAATTTATGAATCTTTTCTTTATAGTTCATGCTTTTTTTCTTTCTTTTTTTTGAAGGCAGAGTGGACAGTGAGAGAGAGAGAGACAGAGAAAAGTCTTCCTTTTGCCGGTGGTTCATCCTCCAGTGGCCGCCGCAGCCAGCGTACCATGCCGATCCGATGGCAGGAGCCAGGTACTTCTCCTGGTTTCCCATGGGGTGCAGGGCCCAAGTACTTGGGCCATCCTCCACTGCACTCCCGGGCCACAGCAGAGAGCTGGCCTGGAAGAGGGGCAACCGGGACAGAATCCGGCGCCCCGACCGGGACTAGAACCCAGTGTGCCGGTGCAGCAAGGCGGAGGATTAGCCTAGTGAGCCGCGCCACTGGCCCTCCTCATACTACTTTCAAAAACTTTATAGTTTTGCTTTTTGCATTTAAGCTACCTAGAATTTTTTTTTAAGATTTATTTAGTTATTTGAAATTCAGAGTTACAGAGAAAGAGTTCTTTGATCAGCTGGTTCACTCTTCAAATGGCTGCAACCTCTGGGCCAGGCCAGTCCAAAACAAAAGCCATGATCTTATTCTGGGTCTCCCACATGGGGGCAGAGCCCAAGCACTTAGGCCATCCCCCACTGCTGTTCTCAGGCCATTAGCAGGGAGCTGGATCATAAGTGGAGCAGTCAGGACACAAACCAACGCCAAAATGAGATGCTTGTGCCAATATGAGATGTCAGCATCACAGACAGCAGCTTTACTCATTGCACTACAGTGCAGGCCTCTAGAATCTGTATATGGTTTGAGGCCAGAGATCTAGTCCTGGCACTGTTTATGGATTACTATTTTCTTACCTAATGGGACAAGTTCACGTTTCTAAGTTTGTTTGTATTTATCTGAGCCATCTCTTCTAGTTCTTGGGACCATGTGGTAAATACCTAGGCCAAGTGGCACTATCTTAATTTAATTACTGTAACTTGCTTTAGAATAGAGCATGTGGGGGTCGGCGCTGTGGCGCAGCAAGTTAAAGCCCTGGCCTGAAGCACCAGTATCCCATATGGGTGCCAGTTCTAGTCCCAACTGCTCCTCTTCCAATCCAGCTCTCTGCTATAGCCTAGGATATCAGTAGAAGATGGCCTAAGTCCTTGGGCCCCTGCACCTGCGTGGGAGACCCGG